ATCTTCTCTTCTTCTATCCACCACCAACAGCAGTATCGCCGATGCGGGTGCCGGTGCCGCTGCCGCTGCCTTCGCCTTGTTCATCGAGGAAGAGGTTGTTGAATGCCTCCTCCAGTTCCAGGTCCCCAGGTGTATGCTGTTCCCTTCTTGCACCTTGTTCCCAATCCTTGATGCAGGTGAGCATCTCAACATGCTCAGGCAACAAGCGCCGCCGCCGATCTTCGAGTATCCTGGATGTACAGCTGAAACAAGACTCCAAAGAGACAGTAGACACAGGGATAGACATAATATCTCGAGCCATAATCGACAGGATTGGATAGGTTAGCTTGTGGTCACGCCACCAGAGGAGTATGTCAAAGGATTCCTCATAACATGTGACAGGGTCACTGTCCAAGTAAGCTTTGAGCTCACTAACAGCAGATGGAGTAGATGAAGATGAGGGGGAAGAGACAGGGGATTCACCAGGACCTCCAAAGATCCTTCCCCATGCCTGTTTTGTCTTACCAGTATGAGCTGAAGGGACTGAAACCCTTTGACTCCTCACTGCACCAAATTTCTGTTCATACTTGGCAAACAATTTATACAATTCATCTTTGACATCAGCATAGTACACACTATAAGTGCATCCAGTTGCCTTAGCAAGCAATTCAAGCACATTAAAGAACCCTTTAATCTTAGCTCTAGGATCAAGAATGAATGCATATGAATAAATGAGTGGAATTTTCTCCCAATATTTAAGAAATTTAAGCTTCATAGAAGTAGCAATCATTCTAAAATTAGCATCTCTCTCAGCATTTTGCAAGTGTTCAGCCATGTCAAGCATATGGTGCAAAACGGAGTTGTGGGATAATACACACCAGACAGAATAACAGTGGAATTATAGAAGAGTTCCAAGAATATCATTATTTGTTCAGCAACATACCAATGCTATGCAGTCAACAAAATAGAACCATAATTTGATGTAATGAACACATGAAAGACTTCCTTATATGGCAGCAAATGTTTGAGCATCAAATAAGTAGAATTCCATCTAACATCCATATCCAAGCCAAACTTTCTAGGTCTAAGACCCTGATCTGTGCAGTAGTTCTTAAACAATGCAATTCTTTGATTAGAGGAATTTAAAAAATTATTGCAGTTCTGAAATCTTCAGTATAAGGTTTCAAACTCTTCATGCCAGATTTAACAATCAAATTTGTTATATGGCATGCACAGCGTTGATGCACAAGCAAATACTGCACCTTGTTAGGATCATCTCTTGTAGGTGCAAGATAAGAACCTAAATAGCCAAAGAACATAGGTTGCAAAATCTCAAAAGCCCTAGAATTAGCAGAAGCATTGTCTAGAGACACAAAAAAAACCTTGTCAATCAAACAAAACTCCTCAACCACACTAGCAATCCTATCAGCAATGTTTTCACCAGAATGAGAAACATCAATCAGCCTTAAACCAACAACTTTTTTCTATAATTCCCAATCTGCACTAACATAATGAGCAACAACAGAAATATAATCATCTTTAGCATTACCAGACCATATATCAGATGTTAAAGAAACAGAAGATGCAGCAGGCAACAAAGATTTCATAAGCATAGCACGTTGTTCATCAAATAGTTTAGACATATCTCTAGTGGTGGTCTGCCTAGAAACCTTTTGAAACAGAGGATTGTGAGCACGCTTAATGTAATCCTCCCAAGCCTGGGTCTCACCAATCCCTAAAGGAAGGTCTAGCCTAGCAATCAAACGGCACAACTCAGTGCGAGCAAGCATAGGATCATACACCCAATTTTTCAAACCATCGGGATTCATAGCAAGTTTAGACTGGACCATACTAGCATGCTTACGTTTTTTCATACAGGAAAACATGTGCCGTCTCAAATGCCCAGTGCCAGCAGCAGACCTAGCACTGTAACGCGCACCACAGTGTTTACAGATGGCCCTCACTCGAATTTTATTCTCCTTAATCTCATGGAAGTAATCCCAAACATCAGAAACTTTCTTACCAGAGGTGGAAGAGGTTCCATGAGTGTCAGTGGAGACCTCAACTCCACCATCATCGTCGTCGCCATCGAGATCGATGGGCTGGTTGCCGTCATCGTCACCGAGATCGATGCCGAATAGACCGGCTGCGTCATCACGCAAGTCGTCGTCATTCTCGATTTCCAGCTCCTCATCCGGGTGCGGCGCTAGGTCCTCGCCATCGACAAGGGGGGGGGATGTTGATCCGCCCCCCGCGTTGCGAGCCCAGCACCAGCACCAGCCTGAGCCCGACCCCGACATCCAGCTCCAGCACCGCCCCTCGACGGGTGCTTCGGCGGCCTGGCCATGTCCACTCCAGAGGAGGACGCGGCGTTAGGCACGAACCTACAACTCAAAAAGACAGAGACAGAGTGAGTAGAGAGAACAAGAACTGATGAGCAGATCCAAAGAAAGAGTAGGGTTAGGGTTAGGGAAGAACAAGACGAACCTGCGCTCCGGAGCCCGGTGCTGGAGATGAAGAAGCCAGAGCCAAAGGTGGGGAGGAGGAGACAACGATAAGAATTGACGGCGAGGTGGGCGAGGTAGGGTAGGGAAGAAGAACACGAACTCACATGGCTCACGGTTCACCGAGAGCGAGAGGAGAGGGAAAGGAGGGAGGAGACGGGGACAGCCGGACGGGGTTAGCGAGGTGGAGTGGAGGAGCGCCGGCGAGGTCACCGGAGCCGAGGACGGGGCCGATGGCGGTGGCGGCGGTGGATCGATATCTAGAGTAGAGCGAGAGCGAGGTGGAGCGAGCGAGAGAGAGAGACGGCTGCGCGGCGGCGAATGACGGGGTTAGCGAGGTGGAGTGGAGGAGCGCCGGCGAGGTCACCGGAGCCGAGGATGGGGCCGATGGCGGTGGCGGCGGTGGATCGAGATCTAGAGCAAAGCGAGAGCGAGCGAGCGAGCGAGCGAGAATGAGGATTAGGGTTAGGGATTGGGGAGGTCGGGAGGGAATGAGGGATTGGGGGTACAAGCGTACAGCCGGGCAGGGCTCCTGGCCTCCTAGCTCCTGCGCTGCGCTTATATTGACCAAGGGCAGGGCAGGCCGGCAGGGCCGGCCTTCGTGGGCTGCTCTCTGCTGGGCCAAATGGGGCACCGGGCCATCACCGTGCCGGCCTGCACCACCGTGTCGTGCCCGGGCCGTGCCACGGGCTAGGGTGGCGGCCCAGACGTGGCCTGGTCCATCGGGTCGTGCCGGCACGGGCCCGCTGGCCACCGAGCCGTGCCGTGCCCATGCCGGGCCAAAAGGCCGGGCCACGGGCCGTGCCGACGGGCCTCGGGCTGCATGGCTTTCTATACCCGAAGGGGAGGCAGGTAAGGGCTGCCAACGAGCCGAGCTCGAGCGAGTAGCCGAGCCGCCTTCGTGAACTGACCGATTACGACACGGGTCCGTCGCGCAGCCAGCTCTGGCTCTGTCTCTGGAGAGTCGGGCTTGGATCGAGCCTCTGACGAGCCGAGCCCAAGTAGCTCGCAAAGCCTCGAGCCATTTCTTTATAGCGCCAAGCAAGAAGCAGGTTTGGTTTTTTTTTGGAGGAGGCTGCGAATGGCGCGATCCTCGACGTCCACTACTACCAACACACGTCGCGATCTCTGAGCTTGATGTCTAGGATGATCCTCGCCTCTCAGTTCGCCATTCGCATCTCACCACGGCCCACAGGCGACAAATTTGCAGATAAAAAGAAATCCAAAAGTCAAAGCATGAATTCAATTTGTCTTTGGCCTTGGCCATGTACTGATGTACAGTGATATGAATATCTCTTCTTTTTTTTGGGGAAAAGTGATATGAATATCTCGAGAAACACATACACGGCACCCTATTATTTGGCCGAGAGAATTTGCAGGGAAACGGCCGTAACGCACGAGTCCAAGGGGTTCAAATTTCTCTTTTGGACACGTGGAAATTCAAAGAGGTAATTCGAGACTGGAAATACCATTAAGGCCTCTTTGAAACAGAACACAGGAATAAAAAAACATATGAACGAAATATGCTAACGCTTTTAACCCTACAAGATTTCAAGACAGAAGAAAGTTTATGAATGTGGGCTTCAGAAGCAATGTAGAAAAAGCACAAGGAACAAAACAATAAGGAGCTTGGAGCTCATGTTTCATTTTCTCCAAAAGTTCCTTTAGGCCAGTCCCAATGAGTAGTTTATGGCGTTGTTGTTTCTAAGACTGCCATGTCATATAGAATGAAATGAAATTTGAATGAAACCTCATCCCTTGATGCAAAGTTTCATAAAGAGTTGGTAATCATGTCAAGAGAGTTTTTATCTAAATGACACTCATTTCTTCTCTCTTTTTAAATAAATTGTCATGTCAACAAAAATATCTATATGGCAGCCTATTTAATGCAAATAAAACTTATATGAAACTTCCACTAAGACTGGCCTGAGTAAAAAACTTCCACTAAGACTGGCCTGAGTACTCGCTTGGTCACCGGTATACTAAAAATAAGTAGATTTCTAAGAGGGCATCCTACCTTTCAATTTGAATAGCCATCTATTTTAATAATACCTTTTTTTATTGTTTACTCCAGCAGTTGTACCCAAATCAAACCCTACAAATTCATCGAGACTGTGATATGTGAGACCTAGGTGTCATCCTTTTCCTTCTTCCTTCATCACCATCTCTAGCGCAGAGCACCGGAGCAGTGCTACCCAAGTCAACCCCCCTCCACCAAAAAGAAAAAGAAAAAAAGAAAACACTCCAAACTTTCAAGAGGCCGATTCAATCAAGTATTCAGAAGGCAGTCTCCACCAAATAATAAGACTAGTACGAAACCGGTACGAGGTTAAGGGTTTTAAAGCACGAAACGAGTAAAGAGGATATTACAATGATTGTTTAAGCCCCTTGGGGTCAGTCAAGTCCTGAGTGGTGCTAGCTAGGAAAGAGTATGTAGCAACAAACTAAACTGGCGACCCTTCAGCTGAGGAGCCAAAGAGCGACAGGCAACTTGGAGCTGGCCACCACACCCAGCTGTTACACGCCAAGGCCGTGCTTCAGATCCTGAATGGCAAGAAAAAAGAATGGTATAAACGTAGTGAAGAGAGATGTTTTAGAAGGGCTTACAGTAATAAAAGTACAAGTACATAAAACTCTTGAACCATACATGCTACTCCCTCCATTCCAAATTATAAGATTTTTTTTTCTAGATTTGTAAGTTTTGCTATGCATTTAGATATACACTAGTAAAAAAAACTATGTATCTAGAAAAGTCAAATTGTGTTATAATTTAGAATAGATGGAGTACAACTAAATGCAAACAATGGGGAACAAAAACTTTAGTGCTTAAATCATGCTGTTACCTAAATTAAGCCACATCAAACTAATTGTCCTGTCCAGTGTGCTCTCAGAGTGTCCAAAACTCATGCAGTAGGGATCTAGTGCTTATGCTTCTACTATTGATGTTATTGACTAACAGTAGGGATCATAATCAATACTATTTAGCATTATAAATGTGTCTTGGCTCATCGTATAGTCCAAATTACATATGCAAAGAAAGCACAACACATTTATGCAATTACTGAATACAAATAATGCAACTCAAAGCAAAATGCATCGATCAAATAATTACACAGAATACAGATGGAACTTCGAATATAGCTTTACATATTTGCCATTGCAGTCTACTGATGAGCACACAAAACAGTATCTAAAAGGACTTACTTCGAAATTCCCAGTTATGTGTAGCCTCTTTAAAGCATTTCCTTGATGGATAGTGTCTCGGTGAGACTCCAGAAACCTCGGGCGTTTCATGGCTGCCAAAAACAGTAAACCATAAGACAATGACTCGATAGCAACATTTACAGTAGCTTAATTAACTTATAATTTGGAACGGAGGGAGTAATAATTTCAGGGACCAAAGGTGCAGGTGGGGGATCACACACCACATTTGAATCAGTCCTGCAGTTAGAAGATGCAGCTTAATTACTGTATAAAACACAATGCATCTTTACCTTGGTTGGATGCATGTTCAGGCCCATGTCCTTGTTCTATCTTCATGCGCTCAGCTATAGATTTATAAGCATGCAAAGCCTCAAATGGAAAAACTGCAGGCAAGTAACAATATCAGCAATCGAGGGCGGAGCTTGTTTTTAACGGCAGAAATTACAATATTACCTCCTCTGGAAAAATATTCAGGTCTATGGCCTTGATTGAGCATCATAGGCTGAACAGCTTGAAAAAACTTTTCTGAATATTATAAGAGATAAACTATTAAGACAAGAATAAATCGATGGACCAGAAGCTTGCCACAGGAACATATCTAATAAGTAATGGGTGCGGGTCTTCCCCCGTTCAGATCAACTCTAATAGATGCAGCTTAATTTTGAAATTTAGAAAATACAGTGCATGTTTACCCTGGTTGGATGCATGTTCAGGACGATGTCCTTTTTCCATCATCATGTGGCCAGGTATGGATTTACAGTCGTGCGCAGTCTTGAGTGTAAAAACTGCAGAGAAACAACAATATCAGCAATTGAGTGTAAGAACTGCAGAGAAACAACAATATGAGCAAATCTGAAGCTGGAACTTGTTTTTAATAGCAGAAAATACTATATTACCTCCTCTGGATAAATATTCAGATGGATGGCCTTGTTTGAGCACCTTGCGCTGACCAGCTCGCAAAACTTTTTCTGAATATTTAATGAGCTTTCCAGTCAATCGCCAAAAGAAGTGGTTTTGCAAACGGGGCTTTGAGATACAGTTGGGGCAGTTCAAGTTAGGCCAGTTTTCAGGCATTGAAGATCCAATAATCTAGTATACATGCTTTCAGCTAACTCTGAAGATCGCATTAGTTTTCTAGTCATCACAAGCAAACGAATTTCAAGTGATTTTGCCACAAAATAGAACATTGTATCTAGCAACGCAAGCGTGCAAGCTTGGAAGATCAAACAGAATCATTTGCATAAAAGGGTGTTTTATGCAACCAAAACATAGCATCATTCTTCAGCAAGTAAATAAATTTTAGACACCACAGCAACGCAAAAAGATAGAGAAGGACCTGGCTCAGCAAAATACAACATGGGGACATATACTTGGTTTGGCAAGTGATCGAGCTAAAGGCAGAGACAGATGGCAAACTAGATGCACGTACCAAATAGTTGTATCAGCAGCACTCCCAATTTCCTTGGTGAAATTGCTGTTGAAAATGTCGGTTGTTAATCAGCACAGCTGTATATATCAAATTAAACATGTCCTACAGTTGGTGTGTGATGCTAAAAAAGGTGATGCTCCTACTCAGAGGTATCCCATAACATTATAATACCTGAATAATCATGACAGTCCATCTGAGCTGAAGGAACCAACCTGCACAAACCAGCATATATGTAGCACAGATCTGTGTATATAAAATAAGCAGAGAAAACAACTACACAGTGCAGGGTTTCAGCTAGAACTCTTTCAATCAATGTGCATGATGTACCTCTTCTTCATCTCAAGATAGACCTTTGCAACATCTGTTGCTTGCTTCTTGCTGCCTACTTTCTTCACTTGACGCCTTGGACGGAAGCTAGCAAAGATTAGATCACAAAGGCAGCAGTCAGACAGTTGGTTGAGTGACATTATGCAGTGGAGAACGAAGCTTATTGCACCCTGGCGCGCGCGCGCGCACGCACACACACACGCACGCACCTGCACCTAATGGGCATTACGTCGTACAGCTCGTTCTGGGCGAGCGGGTAACGCGTCATCTCCTTGAGCTCAGGCATCTCAGAAACCATCTGCTCGACCAGCTCCGCTGCCTTGTTCCTGACGAGTTGCCAGTCCAGAGTGTTCCTGCAGCAAGCATATATACGGGACATTCGTTCGATCGCTCATCACATTACATATACTCATATAGATCGATGCAGCAGCACAAGCCACAAGCTAGATGTAAGAGAGAAGCGTAGGGTATTACCTGACATAAAGTGTGCGAAGGGAGAGGACATCGGTAACAAGGGCGACGAGGCAAGGACACTCAGAGAGCGCAGCACGATGCCTGTACAACTTTATGAACCAGTCGCGGACGACACCTTCCTTGGCTGTGTCGCCGTCGGCGAATCTGTGGATGGCCATGAGGTAATGGAGGAAGAGCGTGAGGAGTCCAGCGTGGCTGCTCAATTCCCAGATGGGTGCGAAGGTCCTGACGTGGTCACACGCCTCCTCGAGCTGGCCTGCCTTGATCCGCTTCACCAGGTCCTCGACGTCGAAGATCACATGCAACTTATTTTTGGCCCTGCGATGTTAACCAGAGGATCGATCAGTCATACACTCATACGCATTCATTCGCAAGAGGATTTTTGGTGGGTGGGTGTGTTGGGGGTTGAGATTGAGGGCATACACATGGTAGATCTGGTCGTAGCAGTTGTCCCGGAGGTACGCAAGGAGCCGGCGCCAACGGAGACGCTCCGTGCATGGGTAGTCCGGGATGTAGTCGCAGTCGCACTGCTTGCGCTTGCCGGAGGCTGCCGCCTCGCCGACACCGGAGACCGCGGCCGCCGCACGCCCGCCCTGGACGGAGACCGCGGCCGCCGCACGCCCGCCCTGGCCGGAGACCGCCGCCGCCTCACGCTCGCCCAGGTCGGAGACCGCCGCCGCCGCACGCCCGCCCTCGCCGGAGACCACCACCGCCTCACGCTCGCCCTGGCCGTAGACCGCCACCGCCGCACGCTCGCCCTGGCCGGAGATAGCCACCGCCGCACGCTCGCCCTGGTCGGAGACAGCCACCGCGGCAAGCTCGCCCTGACCGAGGACCGCCAGCGCACGCCCGCCCTCAGCGGAGCTCGCCATCTCTCTCTCGGAAGATTTTGATCTTGTACGATTCCTGAGTTTGGCCGTTTTGGGGAGATGACATGCCAGGGTTATATGTGCGAGCGGCGGGCGAAAGTGGGGCTCAGCGGCGGGAGTGGGCCAGTGTGATGCGATTGCTTGGCGAAAGGCGGGGGCGAGGGCGGAAACGGGAGAAGTAAGGGAGGAAACGGGAGATGTAAGGGCGGGAAAACGGGAGACGATTGCATCCCATCTCCTTTTTCACTGACGCGCGGGTGTCAAATTCTTTTTCCTCCTCTCCCCTTGACGAGCACCTTTCGCATGCCCGAACCGATAACGCAGTGGACGAGCGCTCGATCTAACGCGGAGGAGGAGGAGCCCCGAAGCCGGCGAGGAGACTCCTTCCTGGGCGGCTCCCATCTTCCCCGAGATCAACGACCCCCGTCTCTTTCTCTCGGAGTATAGCGTCGTCGCTGTAGTAGGAGCCGGAGTCGACAGATGGGCACGGGCACATCTTCTTTGGCGATCAAACCGCGAGCCACGGTGATCGCCTACTTGGACGACCAAACCGTGAGCCTCCACCGTGGCGTGAGGACGGGGACGCCGCCGGGCAAGCTTAGCTTCAGCCATGGTGCGAGGCGATGGCCAACCAAATCGAAAATTAGTGGGCCTGATTTAGGTAGCATTATTAGAGATGCTTTTCAAAATCTACTTATTTTTGGTATACGGGCGACAGGGCGAGGACAAAAAAACGGTACTTAAGGATGCCGATAACTAATCGAGCACAAAAAAGATTAGTGCAAACAGAAATCGATACAATCTTTATCTTTACAAGAAATATGCACCATGAAATTTACCTTCTAATCTTTCCACGTGTTCAGCTATTCAAAAGGCCATGTTCACAACGTCACAACTCCATCCGGTAGGGGGTACCGTGCAGCACGACTGTGTACCCATTGGTAAAGATTTCCAAACGTGCCGGCACGATACTACACGGCCCTAGCCCGTCTGGGCACGGCACGGCAGGCACGGTTGATGAGGCGTGCCGTGCCGTGCCGTGCCACCGTGCCGGAGTTTAGGCCCAGGCACGTCACTAAACTTGCCAGGACCGTGCCTGGCGTGACGTGCCGGCACGGCAGCCCAGCGTGCCCCGTGTCGGCCCTGGCACTGAAATTACAAAAACATTCTTTCAAATCATAAGTTCACAGAGATAACTTCTAACTCATCAAAAACATGAGACAATGCCAGCAAAAAACAACAAAGAGCAAAGAACAGCAAAGAACAAAGGCAAGTGTTGAAACTAAAACTAATTAAAGTAGGAGCTGTGCAATGGCTATCTCATTAAAAACCTGTTTAGGTAAAACTCACCGTTGTAAGAAACCCTAAACAGGAAAAGAGTACAGCCAGCTCCTAAAATTGTTCATAAGTTCATTACATCCAGCCTCCAGCATGTCCAAGTCTTAATAGCTATTACAGAACCATTACATAAATGGGGAACTTAATCAACATCAAGATAAAGTGCTTCAAAGGCCTCTTCCAGCCCCTTATCCTCCACCATGTGCTGCAGTCTTGATTCAGCATTCTCTCTGTCCTTGATGCAGGTTAGTGCCTCCACAATCTCAGGGTTCAGCCTCCGGCGACGCTCCTCGATGATCCTACCAGTAGTGCTAAAGGTAGATTCTGAAGAAATGGTTGACACAGGCACAGTAAAAATATCTTTTGCAAGAATAGAAAAGCACAGGATAAGTAAGCTTGTGCTCATGCCACCATTGCATGAGGTCAAAATCATCATCTAACTGGCTGACTGTGTCAGAGTCCAGGTAGGATGCAAGCTCACTAGAGTTAGAAGCAGAAGCTGCCTGTAGCAAAGAAGTGGCAGAAACACCCCTGGACTGATCAAGATTAGGAGGGAGGGGAGAACAACCAGCTCCAATGTCAAGCTCATCATCATCATAAATGTCAGTCCAAGCTGTTTTTTTACCAGAAAGGGATGCAGGAACAGCCCTTTTGAGCCTAACAGAGCCATACATTGCATCATACCTGTTGTACATTCTAAAGAGAAGAGCTCTGGTGTCCAGCAACTTGTTAGTGTAATCAACATTAAAAAGAGAATTCAACTTTCTAAGCACTTTGGTAAAGCCCTTAATCTTAGCTCTTGGATCCAGTATGAATGCAATGGAATGAAGATCAGGTATGTTCTTCCAGTACTTATTATATTTGTCAATCATAGACTGCACAACAGATCTCAGATGTTCATCATGTTAATATTTATGCAGGTGAACAACAATCTTAACAATATGATGAATCATAAGTGGAGAAGTAGGATAGTACACACCATATAAAGCAACAGTAGAGTCATAAAACAGTTCAAGAAATTGCAACATCTTAGTTGCCATATCCTAGTGATCATCAGTCAACAGGAAAGGACTACCTGCAGGTCTAGGGTAATTAGCCTCAATGAAAGTACTGAAAGTACTCCTATGAGGTAACAATGTTTTCAGCATAAGGTAGGTGGAGTTCCACCTAACATCCATGTCCAGTGAGAACTTCCTAGGTCTAACACTGCTAGCAATGCAATAACTCTTGTATGCAGCAATTCTTTGATTAGAGGAGTTCAAAAAAGAGATTGCAGTTCTAAAGTTGTCAATGAGAGGATTAACAGCAGCCAATGCTTCCTTAACAATCAGGTTAATAATATGACAAGCACATCGTTGATGCAAAAACAGATCAGCACCTAAATACTCTTTAAGTATAGGTTTCAGTTTATCCATTGCATTTTTATTGGCAGATGCATTATCCAAAGTCACAAAAAAAACCTTGTTAAGTATACCATACTTAGCAAGGACAGTTTTAATACGCTCAGCAATGTTTTCAGCATTATGGGAGACATCAATCAACCTTAAACTAAGCACCCTTTTCTCTAATTGCCAATCAGCATTAATGAAATGAGCCACAACAGATAGATAATCTTCTTTGGCATTTCCAGACCAAATATCAGAGGTAACAGCAACAGATGAAACAACATTGTCTTACAAACAAGTCATTAATTTTTCACGTTTACCATTGAAGTGCTTAAACAGATCTCTACTAGTAGTTTGCTTAGAGACAGGTGCAAAGGCAGTTTTAATGTAATCTTTAAAGGCATCAGTTTCACCAATCAGTAAAGGTAAATCTAGCCTAGCAAGCATACGAACAAGCTTAACACGAGCTACATCAGCATTGTACTCCCAGCGACGAACAGAACCATCAGGATTAAAACCAATTTGAGTTTGAGACAGGCGATATTTCTCACGATGCTTAACACAAACCTTAAGATGTCGAGTAAGATGTCCAGTGCCATTAGCAGAATAAGCAGAGTATTGTTTCTTGCAATGTTTGCAAGTGGCAGCATACCTGACGGGTCTCGCCTTACCTGGCACCTTCTTGAAGTGCTTCTCAAAATCATCCCAGACAGCAGAGGTAAAAGGCTGATTGGAGCCTGCCACCTCACTGTCGCCACCGTCGGCATCGGGATCGGCCCCTTCCCTGTGGATCGGGACCGCATCTTGGTCATAGGGAAGGGGATCAACAGCAGACCGCCCAAATAACTCGGCGCAGTCCTCGCGTACATCGTCCTGCTCATCATCCCCGGCTAACCCGCACATCCGTAGCTCGTCGTTCTGGGAGTGATCAAACTCCCCTTCTTCGGCGTCGCCTATGCCTGGGGTCATCTTTGCCGTCTCCGGTTCCTCGACGGCTGCATCAATAAACAACAGAAAAAGACGGTTAGGGTAAGGGATTAGGGTTAGGGTAGGGGATTAGGGTAGGGGATTACCCTTACCTCTAGAGCCGGAGCGCCGGAAACGACGATGAGATGGACCGGATGCACACCCCCGGTACCTCAACGGAGATTGGAGCCCCGGAGGTGGCGGCGGCCATCGATGAGAACGACGGACAGAAGACGGAGATGCGTCGAGGATGCTAAGAACGAGTCTCAATCGACTTTCAAGGATGAAGAACAAGGGAACAGATGGAGATTGAAGGCGGGAACCACCAGATCTGAGAGAGAAGAGGGAGATTGAGGGCAGAGAGGGAAAGCAGGGAGATTGAGGACGAAACCCACCGGATCTGACCCCTTACCCGCCGGAGAACGCCATGGACACGGCGGAGTAGGGGAACGAGGCGACGATCAGGCGAACGGGCGAGAGCGAGGAGCGAGACGACAGCGGGCGAGAGCGACGAGCGAGACGAGAGCGGCGCGAGGGAGACGAGAACAGGCGAAATGAGCTAGGGTTTGGATGGTGGGGGGGCGGCCGCGGCGGGTGGCTTATATACCGTAGCCCCGCCAGCGCCCCAGAACCGTGCCTGAGCCGTGTCGCCCATTGGAACGGGCCGTGCCCGGGCCGGCACTACGGGCCGACTCCTCGGCCTATGCACGGGCACGGCACCAGGCCGGGCCAGGCACGGGCACGGCTGGGGCGGGCTAGGGCCGGGCTTTTTCACACCGGGCTCGTGCCAGCCCGTTTAAACCGGCCCGTTTGGAAATCTTTACCCATCAGCCCTCTCTCTCTCGTCCTCTTTGCCATTCACGTTGGGAACCAGAGAACAAGAGAGGAAAAGGAGAAGGTAGAGGAGGATTAAAGGAAGGAAGAAGAGGAGAGGAGGAGGAAGCCCCCTGCTGCAGCCACGATGGAGGTCGTCGTCGGCAAGCTTCCCCACGCCACCACCTCGCTGGAGTTGAAGGAGGCAGCCCCAAGCTTCGTCATCTTCTTCCTCAAGCCATGGAGCAAGCCCGACGTCGATCTCCCACCACAATGCGTTTCGGTCCGAACTGCTGTAGATGGAGCTTCCCCAAGACATGGTGAGCACATCCCCAAAGCCTAACTTCATCTTCCCTAACCTCCCATGGCCAATCCATGAGCTTCACCTCTCATCCATGGCCACCACCACCATGGATGGGGTCGAGCTCACCACAGCCCATGCATGGCACATCCATCACTTGTAAAAGCTTCCCTACATCACTAGAAAGCCATAGGAACAAACCACACTCGATTTGGAGCCCGGATGTCCCGGGAATCATCTCCAACGTTTTTACACCTGAGCTGTTCGTCGGCACCAGTGTTCGTCCCAACGAAATGCTCCGGTGCACGCATTCGTCCCTGGCGGACTGTCTGCCCGAATTCGTGGGCTGTCCGCTGTACCACAGCATCACAACCCCAACTTGTAAAGGTCGTAGAAGATGCGTTTGAGCTCCAAAAATGGTGAAACGAGTTTCGTTGTGCTCCATAGAATATCCTCTATCAGCTAGACATAACTTTGGCATCAAAGGGGATATCTCATTTTTGACCACCGGATGAGGCTAAGCCCTTATTATTTACCGGAGGCTCCGCCACACGCACCGGAGTGTCCGATAAGTTATAAATCACAGACAGAGGAGTTTCCTGACAGCACAGACTTCATACCGGAGAGTTCGATCTTAGTTCGGAGGGTCCGATGTTCCCAGTATGTTCTTTTCCCACTAAGTCCCAAAACCACCGGACTGTCCAACATTCACGGCGGACTACCCGATGACACAAACCGACAACCCTTCAATGATTACCTGAACACTCCCTCTTGCATGTTTAATATAATGTCATGCATACATAAGTATCTCATACATAGACATATATATAGGTACGTGTTATCGGATAGACGTCCAGCGATGTTCCAAGCTATGGGATCCTTGCTCGTCCAACAGGCAGGCACCCCACTATTATGAACCCTACTTGGATACTTACCAAGTTGCATTATGAGTTATGCATTATATATAGTCTTGGATAATGATCACCTCTACACTACACCTAGAATAGTCTAATAATATGTAGAAGCCTCTCATCTAAACAATGGGAATGGGAACGCTTAATGCTTATTGCTTAGTTGCTTGGACAACGGTAGAAGTCGAGCAAGAGAAGGGAACTCATACTCGCGTGTGTAGGATGGTACACCTGGATAATTAACTACTAAAACCAATGAGAGTACAACTTGACTTACCTAACTAATCTGGCTAAGGACTAATACCCCTAATATGATAATCTTAATGATAACTTGGATATCTTGCTCATGCGAGGGGTAGGTCGTCGTGAGTGTGGGATCTCAGGCGACGTAGGCACGTAGCTCGTGGAGCAGTAAGGACCGTGTATTGAGATACGTAAGTCCGAGTAACCACACGTACAGAACACATGTCGCGGATGGGGTCGACAAGCCAAGTAACTAGTTACGACCTGTTTATCCGTGAAACTGGCAAGGGGGTGGCGTCGGGAAGATGGTGTACGTTTCGAACCGAGGACCCGTTACAGTACAAAAGCCTGACCCGAGACTGGGAAGAGGGGTGGAAACCTGACCCGGGCACCCGCTCGAACCTTTCATGTGACACTCAGGCCGGATTAGGGAAATGTTGGAAGGCGTGAGGCAACCCTTACTCTCGTGTATGAGGTATGGTGGTTAGTTCCGTCCTTCCGTGTGGGTACAGTTGTACACCTCTGCAGAGTCTTGAAACCTGGAGTCCCTCGGGACGGAACTATTCGGTTGTTCTTTCTTTCCGTACCCATGGTAGAATGAATGATGGACTATGAGCACTTCTGTTATAATGATAAATACGTTTACTTCTATTTTAAGCATAGCATGTCATATTCTTAATGAACATCATTGCTTTCTGCACTTATACAAATGCCTGATAATCACGCTATGTATCCACCAAATACTATATGATGGAATTAAGCCCTGCGAATACGCAATGTACTCACGGTGCTGCTGTTAAGTTGTTTTGTAGGTAAAGGACATTGGCGGCCATCTCACCCATCGGCGGTGGCAAAGTGGGTGAATGACAGGAGCCGTCCAGATTATGGTGGCAACACCCATGGGCAAGGTGACCACTAGTTATTAGCTATATGAGTGGTATGTAGCATAGCGGTGTTGGTAAGAGAGTCGTTTGGTTCACACTATATTTAGTCTTACATTGTATAATTAATTTATTATATTCAACAAGACTTGTAATATATGTTTCTGCTGAATTATTATGTGCTCCGATGATAGGATGTAATCTTGAGTTGTGGAGGCTATTGTGGTATGATACTCAACCTGGTTCTTAAGAGGAGTTGTCAAGTGCGCTCCTAGGGAGCCACCGATGTTAGTTTGTTTAAATTGGATCAGTCAAGTGGATGACACTCGATTTAGACGAATTAACACGGCGAGTCCCCACAGACTGCAACACCCCTCTGCGTTGCAGCAGGCTAACACAAGCATATATCGTTGATGCTTACTGCTGCGTTGAGGATGAGCGACTCCGGCGTTTTAGAAAGGAATCTTTCCAGAAGAAATACAGGTCAAGTTCCTACAAAACATTAGTTGACGCTGCTAATAGTGGCATCACACGTGCCTCCGACGTTGGCCAAGTAACCTTCTTACTAGGTTCATTCACAGGAAGCCCAAGATACTACTACCAGAACTATCAAGATTGTGTTGCAATATGTCTTAGGTTCGGATGTCTGGATCTATTTACCACCTTCACATGCAATGCTTTGTGGCCAGAAATTGAAGACGCCTTATCATCCATACCAGGCCAGCAGGCTTCTGACATACCTGATATTGTTGATTTGAGTTTTTCAGATGAAGCTTAAACTGCTCATGAATGATATAGAGAAGAATGAATTTTTTGGACCCACACTTGCAGGTATTTTTCTAATACCTTATCATTCCATCCTAAACATAACATTGTTACTCCACTCTACTGATGAAATGCACTTCCCTTTAAACTCCGATGCCCCTAATTTTTGCTACCCGTTCATTTCTACGGTCGTATACACAATTGAATTCCAAAAGAGAGGTCTCCCACATGTACACCTCATACTCTGGCTTAGAAAGGATAGTCCTCTCGAAGCTGCTCAGATAGATGCATTCATATCAGCGTAGCTTCCAGATCCAACTACTGATGCCACGGGTTTCGAGGCAGTGTCAAAGTTCATGATTCATGGCCCCTGCGGATCTGTACAACCCTCCTCTCCTTGCATGAACAATGGAAAATGCGACAAATTCTACCAAAAAAATTTTGTGAACAGACGACAGTGCTACCCAACAGTTACGTTAATTATGCTCGCCCAAATAATGGTATCACTGCCCACAAAAACGGAGTTCAGGTGGACAACACATTTGTAGTGCCACATAATGTAGACCTATTGGTCAAATACCAAGCACATACAAATGTCGAGAGTGTCGATCGCAATGGAATGGAGAGATATCTATTCAAGTACACAAACAAGGGCCCCGATTCTGCTAAAGCTACGCTCCAGAGAAAGAGAGGTACCTCTGACAATGCCGCTGCGATGTTTAATGAGATTAACGAATACCTGGACTGCAGATGTGTAACTCCTAATGATGCTACATGGCGACTACTTCAGTTTGACTTACACTACACTGATCCAGCTGTGGAGCGACTTCCTGTCCACCTTCCTCTACAAAATGAAATGGTGTGTTGTACACAGAGGACGACTATCTTGATCAAGTAATTAACGATCCATCTAAGCTCATCACTAAACTAACAGCATGGTTAGATGCCAACCAACAACACCCACAAGCTCGATAGCACACTTGCGTAGAATTCCCTGAACACTGGACATGGCATCAAGATGGCAAATTCTGGGATAGACGTCGCAATAATCATGCCAAGGTTGGTCGTCTTGCTAATGTTGCTCCCAATCAAGGGGAGAGATTTTACTTACGAATGCTGCTCCACATAGTCAAAGGACCACGATGCTTTTCTGAAATACGGAACGTTGCTGGGCATCAGCACCCAACATTTCGTGCTGCATGTGACGCGCTGGGCCTGCTTGGCAATGGCCAGGAGTGGTTCCACGCCATGTCCGATGCAGCGCGTTGGGCATTTCCATGCCAATTAAGACAGCTTTTTGTCACATTGTTGCTTTTTCTGTGAAGTCAAAGAGCCCCTCAGAGTATTTAATGAATATGTGAAGGTGATAGGGAAGACATGTTAGGCCATTCTCAACGGGATTTCATGGCCCCGTTACCAATACATTCATATTTTGGAAATAGTGCAGAAGAGTTTTATCCCCATCAAACTCTCTCTATTCCCATGAAACTCTTATCATCTCTCTTTTCATCAATA